ACGTGGAAAAGGGCGAGGCGTCGCGCGACGTGGACGCGACGTTTTCGGCCACAGACGAGAGGTGCTTCGCGGGAGTTGCGGACGCAGCAGGGGCACCGGCAGCGGCCGTAACCGACTCTGGGAACTCCCCGACAGCTGGCGAGTTGGGGATCGAAGGCACGGGCGGTGGTGCGTCGGACGACATGAACCCACCACCGCTGCCGCCAAACAAAAGGTCGGGTGAAAAGGTGGAGAACCGCGCGAGGTCCGGCAGTTTGGGGCTGGTCGAGTAGCGGCGGTCGTTGGCGGCGTCTTCGGCGGAGGCGGTGGAGTCGACCGAGTCCTGCGGTTTGTGTTGTGCCTGTGATGGTGCCTCCGTCTGTGGTTGGGGATGCCCGATGGGGGCAGTCGTGTTGTTGCTGACTATGGCCGACGTGGCAGGCGCGGTGGGCAGTTCCTTCCGTCCTCTGTTCTCATGAGCATGTGATCTGTTCCGAGCCGGCAAACAACCTGCCAAGACGACACGTCCCCTGTATGCACCTACCTGTCTATGGACTCTATTGAGTCGGCACGCTTGTAAATGTCCGAGGGACGGATAAATTTACCACGATGGCCGTTGGGGCCTCCCGCTGGCGACATAGTCCGTGGTCCTGCCGGGCCGGTAGCCGGACGAGGCACCACAACTGCCGGCGACTGTCCACGCGGGCCCAGGGGCGATTCCGAGCGCCCGTCACGGAAGGGAGCGTAATTCCCACTGGGCGTTTGCGAATCGGAACGCGGCTGTGCCAGGGGCTGTGACTGCGATTGTGACTGCGATTGTGGCGGCGGTGCAACACCGCCGATACCCGTGCCCGGCGACGAGGTCCGCAGCTGTGGTGACGCACGAGCGGCCGCAGGCGCGGGCGAGGCTTGCCGCCATTGTGCTTGCTGCTGCTGCTGTGCCTGCTGTGCCTGTTGTGGCTGTTGCGGGTTATGCTGTATCGACTGCTGTGCCTGTTGCTGCGCGTTCATCGGGACGCGGCCCATGGGCGACGGGCTGTTTCGTGCGCGCAGGGCGGCGGTCGGGTGGGCGCCGCCGACGGTGACGCCGCTGGATGTGAGGGACGACTGGGACGGCAGGGGTGTCGGGGTCATGTTGGCCGGCACGGGGGGCAAGGGCTCGTCGCCGTAGCCATCATCGTCATCCTCATCGTCCTCGTCGCCCCAACCGCTGCCGTCATAGTTGACCTTCTTTGCCTCGACCCATTTGCGCGTCTTCTTGCGGTTCACGTTGGTCGCAAACTTGGCTGTGGAAGACGTATTTTCTCTGCAAGCAGTCAGTACGTCTGGGGAAATAAAACAACAGATACGTTGATCGCAGTAGAACCGTGCCACTCACACTGGCGCTATGTTGCCCTGATAAAAGGGGCTGCCGTACGAGCCCTCGGCCATGGTTGCGGTGGCTTATGTCGTGATTCGCAGAATTCTGGGCAGATGTTGTCCGTGTGACAGAAAGGGAGTCGTCGCCAGTTGTTGGCTTGGTCAAGTTGTCGGTCGGTCGGTCGGTCGGTCGGTCGGTTGGCGTCTGATGTTGGCGACTATGAAGACGTGAGAGGGGAGGAATTGGTCGAGGAAACCGAAGCAGAGGTCGAGGGTCGGAGTGGGCTTTGGTAATTAGAAGACGACGCGGACCTTCGCTTAGCTTGTGTCTTTGTAGTGCTGGGAGGCCGTCGGGCGGAAGAGGCGCTATCTGACGTCGGGCCGCGTAGGAGTCAGGCGCGAGTGACAGGAGAAGTGTATGAAGTAGGAGAGGTGGCAGAAGTCTCTGAACAACTGGATAGAGTAAACGTGCAGAGAGAGACGTCGTTGAGGCCGCCTTTGGTGATACCGCCCACAGGAACAAAAGTTAGAGTACAAGAGATGGCGGGAGGAGAGGTGCAGCAAGGAACAGAGAAAACTACGTCGTAATAATACGCTGTAATAATACGATATGTTGTCCAAGGTTGGCAAACATTGAAGAAAAAAGCAGGTTTACAGGGGTGTGCAAAGATGAACAGACGAAAAGGCGGGCAGACGCTGGTGTTTAGCTTTCTTGGGGGGCGGTTTTCTTCGGGTTCTTGGCCAGGCCGTCCGAAGCAGAAGAGAATTAATTACGTACGTCGTAATGGCTCGGTATGTCGTATGGTCGCGTCTCTTGGTGGAGGTTCCTGGCCGGTGGCGCTGGCTCCTGAACATTTTGCTGTCAGATCCTGCAGCCTTTGCTGATGGCTTTCCAGAGAGGAAATACGCTGGCTACGGCCGGGGAGGAAATAGGGAAGCCGGGAAACAGGGCAGGAAAAGGGGCAAGCGCGGTCACTACAGCTTGGCGCGTGCTTGCCGCGCTTGGTGGTGAAGAATCGAAAAGGACTAAAAGGGCAAAAGGCCAAGGAACGGAAAGTCGGATCGTCCACTAACAGTCGCATTCGAGGGCTAAATTAATTGCAGCCGTAAAGGGGCCAGCGTGGTTCGCTTGTCTCGTGGCAGGCGGTTCATAGCGGGGTGTGGCGCTGGAATGGCAGCGAGTAATTACTTCGTACAGCGCGTTTGTGACGTGAATGGCGCCCCATAACGCCACTGACGACGTAATGAACCGGATGGCACACACTGGAACGAACTGGCTGTTTATCGCTGGCCAAGCCGCGCTGGCGACTCTGTGAATTCAGCAGTCCAGTGTATGTGGATCCCTTGGAGCTAAGATCGAGTCGTAATTCGTAGTAGTGGCCTCCATTGGGCGATGATCGACAGCTTGCACTCAAAAGACTGTGAGCCTGCCAGCACACGATACACTCACCCAACACAAAAGGGAGACATGCATGCAGCCATGCAGCCATATTGGTCAAGCCGGTCCACGACGCGAGGAAACACCCAATGTTCAACCGTTGTCAACGGTGCGGCTTGTCAGATGATGGACAGAGAGACAGTGCAACGTAAGATCCTACCCCATATGAACCAGTGTGCCATGAGCCACGATCATTCAGAGGCTGCCTGTCGACTCACGATCCTTTCCAGTTGATTTGGCAAAACCCTGGAAGGATTCGTGTTGCTCGTGGTCCACTTGGGTCCTTTACCCGGCTAGGGGTTGGAATGCTTCCGTTCCTTTGCAGCCGGTTTGAAAAGGTCTCAGTCCGCGTAACGGCAGGACGGTCTGCGTCGTAGCTCATCCGCTGAGACTGGCGAGAAGGTGCCTTGAGGATGGACGAGAAGATAACGGACAAAGGAGCACAGGATTGGATGAAAGCGAAACAAATCACAGGCCCCGATGGCGAACCCACAGGGCTGTGCCAAGACCAAGAGGGAAAAGGATAAAGGATAAAAGTACGTTTAACGAAGGGAGACGAAGATCAAAGGATGCCAAAGTCCCTGAGAACTGCAAGGGGTCGGCCATTCCGTATTACATCCAAGGCTCACTCCCCAAAAGACGAACGCGACGCTGCGAAATTAACTGACCGCACGTTTTGGGCCAGGAACTGGGGGGCTGCAGAAGCCATTCTGAAAAATGCAGGGGCTTGCAGCATACAATAGATGGGACGGTCTACTGGAGCTCGTGTGTCTTCATGTTCAGCCTATTCCTCTTGTCCACAAACTTAAACTTTTCCCCCTTCAACCTCGTTCCGAGTTCCTATGTCTGGGTATCATTCGATAGTATCGTACAAAATGCTTCGTGTCCTTGAGGAAAATACTCCGTTCGGTCACCGTACGTTTAAAAGTCCTGGATGCCCGTCTCGCCCGTCTTCTCCTTTTTCTTCCCGCCTCCCTCTTCGTCGCTCGCCCAGCCCGGCGACTCCTCGTCAAACCACGCAGCTTCCGCGTCGGCGCGTGCCAGCGCGTCGTACTCGCTGTCGTCGTCCACGGCCGCATAGTCAAAGCCGTCGTCGAGGGCCGCGCCGCCGTCCACGAACCAGTTGCGGACAAACGTGTGCCACCGCCGCAGGGCGGCGTCGCGGGGGGCTACGTCGAGGGACGGATCTGGGTCAAAGTCGGGGTGGAGGGAGTTGAGCTCGTCGATGGCGTCGTCCTTCTCATGCTGAGTCTCTGCGGCCGGCGCCATGACGTCGTCGTCGCCATCCTCCTCCTCCTCCACCTCATCGTCGTCCACTCGGTGCAGCGGCTCCGGATTCCGGAGCATCGACGCCTCCAGAACATGCCCGAACCCCGAGTCCTGTGCCTCGGCGGCACGCTCGGCCGGCGTCTGGAACGATCGCACCAGCGTGTTGTAGAGCGCCACATTGGCAAACTCGCGGTCGCTCGAGGCCAAGTATTCAGGGTGCCTCCGTAGAAACTCGAGCCGCCGGTTTTTGGTGCGGACGCGCCGTGCTTGCTCGGACGAGCGATCCGGCCGCGGCCGTGGTTGAGACGTGGTAGTAACCGTCTCGAGCGTGTGTCCCGGTGCTGGTGCTGGTGCTGGTACTGGTTGTGGATCCATATTGTCTCGTGTCTGCGCGTATGCGTGGTTGTGATAGTGAAGGGAAAGCGTTTGTTTGGCGAGGCTGAGGGGCAGCTTTTTGTGACACAGTAGCGGGGGAGCTAAGCTTCAAGCTCCCGCCCCCAAGTGGCAATCGGCCAGTGACAAGACAAAGGCAGTCAAACGACGCAGGTTGGTGGACAACATCAGACTGTTACCAAACAAAACTCCCCGCATCAACAGTGTTGGTTCTCGCTTAAACCTCGGATATGCAAGTTGCTTTACTACCCTCCTCTGCGAGACATTTTACATTCTACCAACAAAGACATCCGGGGTGTATTATGTGCACATCTCGGCATGCATATTACGTTCTATGGATGAGGTCTCATGGCAGCTGAATTAAATCCATTGCTTTAATGCAAGCTAAAACCGAATATAAAATCATCGACAAAATAACGACATGATATAAAATAAAACACTTTCGAGAAAAAGAAAATCAAGGAGACAAAATAAAAATAAAAAAGGCAATCGCTTCAAAAGAACCCAACGAAGGAACAAAGAAACAAATGCAAAAAAGACAACAAACAGGAAGAAAAAGACAATGACAATCCAACTCGATATCTCATGTCTCTGCAGTGCCATCACCGAAACACTGATGGCACGCTCACCCAACGCAGACGGTTCCCAAAACACACCGAGCCCAATTCCCATTACCCTCTGCCACTGCAGTATCTGTCGCCAAACGAGCGGCGTCCTCTGCACGTCCTATTGTCCCATAGAGGCACCACTCGAAAAAGTGCGGACTGCCTTGCTGACTGCGTACACCTCATCGCCGGGCACAAAACGCTACTTTTGCCGTACGTGCGGCTGCCACATCTTCCGGCGTCGACAGAAGACGACGACGACAGCAGACGATGCCAACACAGGTTGGGAGGTGGCCACGGGCGTCATTGCCAACGAGTGGAGCGACCATGCTGCTGCCAGCGACGGCGACAACCACCCCGTCCTCGAGTACGTCCGCCACGACCATGTGGACGACACCCATGACGGAGGGCTGGCCAAATGGTTGCCGACAGTAGGCGGCAAGCCCATGGGGGGATACCCTGGCGCAACGCGCCCTGTCGCAGTCGACCCCGAGCACAACGTCGACCCATCCACCCGCACCGTCTCTGCCGCCTGCCACTGCGGCGCCGTCCAGTTCGAGGTCCGCCCGCCCGACATGGACCCTGCCGCCAGTCGTGAACCGCACTCGGGGTTTTCTGACCTGCTCCTGCCGTTTGCCACGACCGACCCTGCCATCACGGCCAATCCGGGCGACGTAAAATGGTGGCTGCGGCCGGCCAAGGACGATCACTCGCAGACCAGCCGTTGGCTGGCTGGGACCTGTGCGTGCCGATCGTGCCGGCTGGCGACGGGGTTTGAGATCCAGACATGGGCGTTTGTGCCCCGGGCGTGCATTGTTCTGCAGCCTGGTGGGCAGGTCCTGGCGTTTGGAAACGACAACAACAAAGGAAAAGGAAACACGCCTCCTGCACTTGCTGCCTACCAGTCCATGCCCGGTGTGGAGCGCAACTTTTGCAATCGCTGTGGCGCGACTGTCTTTTGGCACGACATTTGGCGGCCCGACCTTATTGACATCAGCGTGGGACTTTTTCGGCCCAAAACAGACGGCAGCACCAATCGCGGGTCCCGCATCGAAGATCTTTTGGATTGGTGCACCACCCGTGTGAGCTTTGTGGAAGAGGCCTCACGGAATCGGCACGGCCAGACTGCACTTCGAGGGGCGAGTTTGATGGACAGTCTGGAAGAAGGGATGAAAAAATCATGCTGAAATCATAGTTCGTTTGTTGCAAATAGAGGAGATCAAAGAACGGTGTTGTGATGTGTTATTTGTGACTGAGCTCAGTTCGACCGTACCACCGCCATTTATGGATAAGACACATAAAAGGCTCTTTTAGGATGAGGAATCGCTTCCACGAGTCGCGGCTGACTCGTCCCCTTTGCCGGCTTCTTTAGGATATAAATACATGCGCTCTTCTCATGCTTTCAAAATAAAGTCCTGCCGTTCTGCAACGAAAAGCGACACACGCCACTGTCGCGACAAAACAAACACCAAAACTGTGATGGAAATAAAGACACGAGGCTCGTATCCCGCGGAAGGCAATTACAGCGCCGGGTGGTTTTAACATAGAGTTGTCCCGTCCCTGTGGACTGTTGCCCCTCCCAAACATTGTTTTGTTTGCTTGAATAATGCATAAAGCCGCCGTTCGTCCAAGACACCAAAATAAAGCAGGCGCAGTCCTCATTGATCAATGGACCAATTCTCTCCCAGTCCGAGTTCATGTTGATGCACTCCCGAGAACAGGAAGAGGATGAGAAGCGCCGTCTCTTGAACACTACTTGTGGCGGTTCGTGACAGGCTTGAGAGGACCGACTGGTTGGACGGGAGGAATCTGGAAACCAACTTTTTTGCCCCCAACGGCCTTGACGTTGGCGTTGTGCGAGGGCTCGTTTTGAACGCTGGTGCCAATGCCACCCGCATTGTAGTTTTCCTTGATGTTGAGCTTTTGCATGTTGTTCAGAACGCTTGACATTGCGTTGCTTCCGGGCGGTCGCAGCGATGGATCCACCATGCTGGACGCGGTAATTGGCGCCATGTCTGGAACATTGCCTCTGATCGAGTTCTAATCGTCAGAGATATTGATGGCACCGGCTGAATCGGCGTTTGGAGCGCATTTCGTAACACCACTAAGTGGCATGTCCATGACGGAATCAACTTGCAAAGGGGCTGGATCACTGGGCCCACTCGCAGCGAGTGGCGTGACTGGAAGCGACCGCTGCTCAGATATGACCTCCGAAAGCAGTCCGTCGACTTTGGGAGGGAGCTTGACAGTGCTTTCGGTCTCGCTTTTCATTTGTTCCACGAGACGCTGGGCTCGACCCTCCTTCTTTCTGGGCGCCGGCGCCCGGCCATTTTCCTGTACGTAGAATTGGCGGAGAAGGAATACAGCCTTGTCGCGGCCCCAGCCGCCCTCGACGTCGAACCCTGGTTCAACATTCCCGCCGTGCCCCTCGTCTCTAGCAGGGACTGCTCCTTCGGCAATTGGAATGGTTGATGTGTGCCGTATGACCGGTGGGTTGTTTGTGTTATCAGTTGTCACCACTGCTCTCGTGACGGTCGTGGTCATCTTTGCGGTTGCTAATCCACCATCCTCTTGAGACTCGGCAGAGTCCGTGGGCGAGGGTGTGCAGGCACCGTCGGTCATCGGACCTTCAGTGGCCGCAATCACCTCTTCCGTGTTGACAGCAAGCGTTCGAGATGGTCGGCTGGCACGCTTCGGCCGAGACATCATGTTCGTAACATATGTCTCTATGTACGACACATTCTGCTGAATCGGCTCATGAGGCTTCGAGTTCATGTGAATGCGTAGTACGCCGCCGGTGCCGCCAAACTTGTCGTTCGCCGCGCCAAAATAGACTTTTTTGATGCCGTACTGCCGCAGCATCGACGCGCACATGATGCACGGCTCAACTGTGACGTACAGCGAACATTCATGGATGATGTCTTGGCTCACAATCCGCGCAGGATGGAGCTTTTGGCCGTAGGGGAATAGATGACCTTTGCTAGGGTCGACCTTTTTCCAGTCCTCGTCTGTGTACTCCTTCTTGTCGTCGTCGTAGTCCTCGGCACTCCCACAGTCTGAATAGTCGTCTCCGTTGTTTTCAGAATTGGAGGAAGTTTCGTCGGCCTTATTGACGTCGTCCCAGTATGAGAGCAGCGCGTTGATGCACATCAACTCGGCATGACGAGTTCCATTTCGGGTCATGTTGGTCGCATTCATACCCCGAGCGATGACTCGGCCGTTGTGCACAAGCACACAGCCAACGGGCGTCTCATTTGTTCGGAGAGCCAATTGAGCCTATTTTTCCAATGTTAGCAAAAAGAAGTCGCATCGTCGTTCCGATGGGGCCCAAAAATACATGAGCAACCATCCAGAAGTGGTGGTGGCAAAGGCGCACAAAACACTCCACTGGGGAACGCAAAGCGGATGTATATCAAAGGGCAATAGCGGAATTCTTCTATACCACAGTAGAAAGGTGGGAGAGTGAGAGGGAGAGGGTGACAATAGCAAGGAAGCGAAAAAAAAAAAAAAACGTACCATGGCAACGGCCTCATTCATGTAGCCCCGATGCAGTTTTTTGACAGGGTCAGCCACTTCGTCGTCCTCCACGACAAGCTCTTCGTTGACGTCGTCCAAAATTTCGTTGGCAATCATGTCGGCAGCACTGATATTGAGACGGCGTTTGCCAGCCGTTCTCGTCATGACGAAGCTTCCATCTTCATCGGAATCGTTGCTATCCTCGGCGTCGCTACCGGCCAGGTTGTTGCTCACTTTGGCACTCGCCATTGTGGCAGCAACAACGGATGCTTTGATCGAGCCGCAGGGTGACTGTGGCTGTCCGCTGTTGACGTTTTGGTTGAGAGTGGGAAGAAGTGGCAGTACTGGTTGAATGCTGGTACGACTGCTTGCAATGTGAGGTTTCGAGATTTTGTTGATAAAAGCTAAACCTTGCATGGATTTTGTGATAGCGTGAACTGGCGGCTGTGGTCCTGCATTGGTGGTAGCTTTTTGGGTGGGGTTAGCGTGAATAGAGTTCACCACCTCTGGAAATTTCGTACAATGCACAGTGCTGGGGGACGACGATTGAAAAGCCACCGCCACATTAGTCATGGTTGACGATGGCTGGTCTTTGCCCACATCAAACAAATATGCCGAAGAAGCAGTAAAAGTCGCAGTCGAAGTTTCTACTTTCCCGACAGCGCAGACACGCTGCTCGCGTGCCGCGTCTTCGGCTTGGAGAATCTGGCATTGCTCTTGAAAAATCAGAGCGGCTCGTTGTGCGCGGCGAGCACGACGGTTTTGCTCGCTGGTCGTTCCAGTCAGGTCGCTTGGTGTATTTGCAGCTGCAACAGCGTTGCTTGTGCCTCTGTTAGCCGCACTGTTTGTGGCAGACACTGTGATAGGTGTGACACCGCGCACGACCCCAGGCATGGCAGCGCCCCCAGACCTTGCAACACTGTCCCCGATGGCATCCCGGCCATCGCCTGTTGTTGTCGCCGGCTTGGACGCAGCGGACGCCGTTATTGTTTCCGTTGACGAGAATGCATTCAACTGACCTGACGGACACGCAGAGATTCTTGATGGACACGCCAAAACGGCTGTATCAATGGTTGTGCCAACGGTAGCAGCAGCATGCGATGCGGTCGACGCTGTCGACATGCTGTTGCCAGCTCTGGCTGTACGATGTGTCCTTGCGGCTGTCTTGTTCACCGCTGCGGCTTCTTCTGTTTGCGAGTCTGGACGACGGTTTACCCCCGTCAGAGGCGGCTCTCCTCCAATTCGTGGATGAAGAAATCCAGAGCCACGACCTCGACCACGCCCACGACCACCACCACGTGCACGGCCACGCTCACTGACATGCACAGTGCCCTGCTGGCGAAACCGGTTTCCTGTCTCTGGTCGATATTCACGATCTCTACGAGTCGTTTGCCCACTGTCCGCCCGATCGGAAGCGCCATCAAGAGGGAGGCGATGGTTATCGTCGTGGCAAGCGGTAGATGCACCATGACCAGGAGCCTGACCTACAGATTCAGCAGGTCCTGGGCCTCTCCGTCTCCGACGTCCATGGCGATCCCTTCTGGCTGTTAGCATGGCAAGGAGATTTGGTGGACTATGAAAGTGGGACTTGAGTTATGTGAGATGACGAGGGGGGGTACTTACTGCCAAGAGGGTCGGGCTAGAGAGTGCTCTGACCTGTGGTTCATCTCTCCCTTTGACTCGGACTCGGGCCAGATGGCGCGATAGTCTTCGCGGATGTCGTGGTATTCAGACCAGATGTCGCTCGAGCGGTCGTTGTCCGTGTCTGGCCACAGTTTGCTCGTGACGCTGTCGTCAGGCTGCGGGGTTTTGTCGATGTCTCGACCGGTTCTGAGAGACTCGTGAGACTGGCCTTGGCGACTGGTGAGTCGCTGGTCCGTGATGCTGAATGACTCTGTGACCCGAGCTCTTGCTTCTGGCTCACCGCCGCCCTCGCGCGTTGTCGTGGAGGCAGATGAAAATAAACACACCTGACTGACGAAAGCGACGGATGCAAGAGCGCATGGTAAGAGGAGAAAAAGGGGCACACGCTCGACATCGGGAGAAGGAGCAAGGTGAAGAAGGAAAGGCCATTGGAAAGCCAGCATGATGGTGGTTCCGGTCGCAGCTGCCATGGCGATCCAAACGCGGAAACCGCCACTGGAAAACCGGGAAAGCGCCGACCATGTGGATGACCGAGGTAGCAGGTGCGTGCTTTGCGACCGACTCCATGTGGAAGGCGCGGCCGCGTAACTGGCTTTCCGGTTAGCTGGATTCCCCCGTTTCTCCTTCTTTGCCCGGCGGGCCTTTTTGGAAGGCATTGTGCGCCTCTTCCCTTTTTTGGGTCTTTCCCTTTGCCTGTTTCTCCTAACACGGCGATAGGGACTAAATATTTTGTTGTCGTGCTGGTTGTTCTTTCCTTATCCGTTCCGTTTCCGGTGTCCGAGCCGAAATTAGGAAACTGCCACTGGCGGCTGCTATAAAGGGGCGGGGACGATTCAGTCTCTTTCCAATTCTGGCATGATGGAGTTAAGAATCGCCACTGGTTACAATGGTGAAGAAGAGGAAGGTGCAAGCATGTCTAAGACGAAGGTGCATGAGGAAACGGCTCACATCGTGCGTTTGCAAGTCTCCGCCAGCGTTGGGTATACATTATCAGACGCAGACTCCCTCAGCTCTGCAGTGACCAAGCGGGATCCTGTCAGACCACCACAAGTTGCACATTGCGAAACACTCTAACTAGTCATTGCTTCGGCGGCCACAACAACTTCTGACATCTCGCGAGTTTTCTTTTGTCTCTGATTTAACTTGTCAGTTTGTGGTTGTCTACGTTGGTACCAGTGCGACAACTGTCGAATGCTTGTTTCAGAAGACGAGCATCTTGAGATTATGGCAAACTTCAGGAGAGCACTGCATAGAAAACAAGAGTCTCGGATGTCATTTATGTCACCAAACTGGTAAGTACATGGATAAAGTAATGCAGATGTTCAGTGGCAGTATAGAAAGCACACTCGGAAGAGGCAGCAGGAAAAAACCAAACTAATAGGAAATCAAATGAATAAAATAACATCAAAGTAATAAAAATACCTGAACCGTTGGGACAAATACACCGGAATCGAAAGATATAGGAAAAGAGCTGGAAAACAAAAAGTGAAATGGAAGACAAATTCAAAATCAGACAAAACAAAAAAAAAAAAAAAAAATCAAATCTTCGCTTGCTCTTCATCCACTGCTCACACCTCACCGTGTTTTCGCCCTCGCCCCTCACCGAGCACTGGGCACCCGTCGACAACCCTCTTCCATCTCGTCATCCGACGCCTCGACCACCGCCTTGACTCTCCCACCAGTACAGTATCCTCAAATACTATTGGCAGGCGACAAGGGTGGGAGCGAGATTCATCCGGTCGAGCTGGACCTCCAAGTCGGACACCAGGCTGTCGTGGGCTTCGGCTTCGGCCGCCGCCGCCGCTGTCCATGCCAAGTAGGCAGGCAGCAGCAGCGACGCTGTGAAGTTAACTATTACTGTCAGGAGCACGGTGGCGTCCGCAGGCGACAGCGGCGGTGTCGAGGATGACGGTGTTGGCTCGGCTTGTGACGTGGAGAGGGAGTCGCTGGGCGGCACACCCGCCTCGGCGGGCGAAGGCGACCCGCGTATTGTCTTCAGGATAGGCGGCGTGGCGGTGGCGGTTGCTGATGCGCTCGTGGTTGTAGAACGAGGTCCACGGCTGCTCTCGCCCGTTAGTGTTGACCAGCTCTGCTCGCTGCGGTTGCCGAAGGGCGTAAACCTGCCACGGTCAGGTATATTGACGCCGCGCCTCGTAAACTCGGTTGGCCTGCCGCGCTCGCGTTCCTCTTCCTCAGAGTGAGTGACTCCGGTGTCAAGCCTATCTAAATCCTGACCGTCGTCGTCGCCCAAATCTATTTGTCCCAAATCAACCTCGGCAGGTAGTGAGCCTGACGTGCGCAGTGCCTCGGCGTGTGTCAGCCCGCCGGTTTGAGCGGAGCCAGGTTGAACGCAAGACCCAGTCATGGAGGCGTTCACAGCGGAGAAGAAGGTCTCCGAGGCGTCGCCGAAGACGGTCGAGTTGTCGTTGGCAAATGCAGCCGGGTCAGCGAAGCCGTTGTTGAAGTCCACGGCAGGGCTGATCATGCGTTCCATTTGAGGAGCCTGGTCAACAGGGCTGGCAGAGGCAATGGCAGAGACAGGGGAGACGGCGGTGGTGGAGGGGGCGTTCATGTTGCGGCTGGACTGGAGACGAGCGTCCGTAGGTCGGTATGGCGGAGGAGGTCGGAACGGTGGAACACTGTGCGGGTCGATGGGAGCCTGGGTGGTGGCAGTAGAAGAAGAAGAAGCCGAAGCAGTGGTGGTGGCGCCGCCGCTGGCGGTCGGCATGGTCATGGAAAGCGTGGTAGCGATGCTCAGCTCAAGATCATCCTCGGTGAAGAGGCGACCCTGGTCAGCGGCGAGCTGCTCCCAGTCGAAAGAGTCGGAGAAGAGGTCGAGGTCGAGCGGCGGTATGTGTCCTACGCCACCACCACCACCACCATCTTCGATGCCGGCGAGGACGGCAGCGTTCGGTGCCTGCTGCGGGGCAGCGAAGACAGGTTCAGATGTGGTCACGGTCTTCTTGCCCTCCACCTTGGCCTTGGAAGCCTTGGCTGCTCTGGCTGCGGCTGCCTCTGCCTTGGCCCGGCCAGACTGGGCAGGAGCCGTGTACGGACCAGCGCGAGCACTCACATGCTCCGCGGTGAAGCCGGCGTGGTCCGGGTTGCACCGGGTCTTCTTCCGGCGGCAGTCAGGGCAGGCACCCCGCTGGCGCACGAGGCGGGTGTTCTCCCGCTCTTCGTGTGTCCGGGTACCACGGCTGGACACATGGGTGACGTCCTCACCAGTACGCGTGAGGATCTGCATGCTGCTGCTGCCCGAGAGTCTCCGACGCTGAGAAGGAGGAGGAGCGGCAGACTGACGCGGCTGAGTCCGGCGAGCAGCCGGGGTGGCGGTTGCTGTGAGCGTCGCCGCCGGCCACATCGAAGCCGCGGTCAAGGCAACAGGGCTCTGGTCGACAGCGACCGGGAAGAAGTTGCCGGCAAATGCAGCATTAACATCGGCGAACTGGGAAGCAGAAAACATGGGAACAGGAAGAGGGAACAGAGAATCCGACGCAACCGTCAGATCCGACTCGGTCGGCGATGGGCGAGGAGCAGGGCTGGCATCGAGGTACAGGCTGCCGCTTCCACTGCCGCTTCCGGTAGAAGCAGGGTGGTTGAAGTTGGTGTCAAAGACATTGTGGAAGATTGGGCTGGGGCTGGCGGTGTAGGTCGAAGGCGAGTGAACGACAGCAGAGGCGGTGGGCGTGGAAGAGGCAGAGGGCACGAAGTAGGTCTTGTACCGCTCGTTGGTGCGAGCAGTATGGGCCTCAAAGTCACGCTGGATCATCTCCATCTTCATAGAAACGGGGACGTCAAGAGCAATGAAGAGATCGACGAGAGCCTGAAGCTCGGGAGTACCCAGAGGTGGAGCGAAGACGAGGGGACGGCCAGGGCCCTCCTGGAAGACAGAGAAGCTGACGGTGGTCGGCGAAGCAGCGGCGACTGAGGCGGCGCTGGTGCTGGAAGCAGGGGAGCTAGAGCCGATGGAGCTGTGAGCACTGCTGAAGCTACCTTGATGAGCCATGAGACGAGAATTGGTAACGATGGGTCCTAAGTGTTGGTTGATTATGGGTTGGGGTGAAGCTCGTGCTTTTGGTGTAATTGGTCAATTGGTTGGCTGAGGACGGCAGCAAGGAGTCCTGGAAGTTATCTTTTGTGTCGAGTGTTTGGCGAGTTTGGTCTGATACGACTAATATGATTGATTTGTTTGTTTGTTTGAATGTTGTCCGTTTGATAAAAAAAACGAATTGGTGTTGCGTGTGATTTTGAATTGAGATATTGAGATGTTGATAAATATGGGAGGTGTATGGGAGGTGACGTGAATCGCAGAAGTTGACGGGTTGCGATGCTGAGAAGGGAGTGCTTTCGCACGGGGACGGGGCTCCGAAATAGACGAGTATTCGTGTGCGTATGTGTATGTGAAGATGCTGTGGGAGAGAAGAGAAGTCAAATCACGAGAAACAGAGAAAGGACGAAGCATGATATTAAAAGAGAATACAACATACACACTCAGTCGGACTTGCCATGCTTTCGACAGACAACGGCAATTGTGCTACGAGAGGCCTGTCTCAGAGAGGAAGGCGCGAAAAGCCCAGCGAGGCGCAGTTTCCTCACCTTAGACAACGCCAAAGCCAAAGCCCAGCCGGCAAACCAGTGGAGCAAATGAGTGAGGGAAGGAACGAATCTCGTCGCCAGAAGCAGGCCCCACACACTCATCACGCACTCACAAGCACCAACACATAGCCTCCCCCACTTTCCGCTCTCCATCCCTCATATTTTACAGCCGGCCACCCACAAAGTGGACTGGTTGTGAAAACTGGCCAATGAGGGGCTCTTGTTTGCCTGTCATGGTTCGGCCAGTGACTCACTCGCAGAGCGCACAACACGGACCGGTCGCTGCTTCCCTGCAAGTCTGTTTTACCCCATTGGTCAATACGTCGATGCAACATACGAAGTACAAGCATTGTGGAGTCTACAGAATACGAATGTACTGCAGGAATTGACTCTTTTTCTCGTGGCTCGTGTCACAGAAGGAGCGATCGAACGACGAAACGAGTCAGAAGCAGCCTCATGATTTCGGAAGTAAAATTCGAACCCCAAGGTTTGGAGACTCCTGCTTGTGATCCTCGATTGGGACTTGGGATCTTATTCTAATGGGGTCCACCAGAGCTCTCTGGTTGAGTTCGAGCCCGTCTTCCTCCGCCACGCCCAGAGGTATGGAGCAATATACCGTATTGTGGCTTGACGATCCTAGTCCTCCAGCATGGTAGCATGTCCTGTTGTGGACAGCGCATCTCCACATCGAGGCAGCTCTGGATGGGTTTGGCCATAATGGCGTTCTTTGGGGGGGATGCTGTCCAACGTTCCCCGGAACACAGCCTCGAATTTTTCGGTTTGACTTCTTTAAACACACCTTATTCTTCACGAATTGGGAATGCCTCGCGTCGTGTATATCCACGTCCTTTCTATTTGCCATGGTGACTTTGATTTTGCAACGGAAACAGAGCCTCCAAATCAACTGGATCGCTCATGTGTATTGATTATTGTTAAGACTAAAACGAATTCTATTTGGCGATGGTTTCTGCAGATTGTGCCAAGGGCAATGTCCCCGACAAAGACAGGACGAAACAAGCAAACGCACGACAACGGACACGATCTTCGTTTAACACCAACCGCAACCTTCCAACGAAAGACGACTGCATGTGACAACAAAGTCGGGGAATAAGTCATGACGGTAAGAAAATAGGAACGCAAAAAAAAAAAAAAAAAAAAAAAAAAAAACAAATCGCCGATACGCTACATTCACGTCGCAAAAGAGACAGCACCAGGCTGGACTCTAATCCGCAAAATAAAAGAACTCGCTCTCGGTGGTGCACTTGCCCTTCCACGGACCGTTGTTGCTGCTGACGGCATCATTCTGAGCCGGGGAAACGGCTGGGGCCACTTGAGCAGCGGCCATGTCCATGAACATCTGGACGTCGACCATTCTGACCGTGCCTGACGGGGCCGGCGGTTGCGCAGCTACTGAGTCCTGATCCGAACCGGGGCCAATGCCGGGGGTGTCGTGGTGGCCGACAACGGTCGGAGAGTCAGTTGCACGGCTGTGGACACCGCCGCCTTCACCGGCAACTCCGCCAACAGGACCACCGAAAGCGGCATCACTGTTGACCATGGGCAGAGTTGCAAAGTCCACTTGGCATTGGCCAGGGGTTACGGCCATACCCTGAAACTCGCGCGGAAACATGGCCGCCGTCTCCGCGTCGTATGCGCTGCTGACATTCGACGCCGGCGAGGTCGGCGACATGGGCGTCCCGGGAGACATTGACGGCGTCGTTATGGCATAGGCTACGTGCGTGGCAGGCGACAAAGGCAAGCCGCGGCCCACGGCGTAGAAACCTTGGGTGAAGGGCGATTGTGCTTGAGACAGAGACCGCGACAGCGACTGCGCCTGGGATTGAGCTGTCGACAAAGACGACGACGACGACGGCCGTTGCACTGGAGAGTCGCTGGCGTGGGCCACGGCGCCAGGCAGTGGCATGACCGGCACAGCCGTGGTGTTGTTGCAGATGTCGTTGTAACACTCTGGCATACCCGTGGCTGGGTCGTATGGGATCGTTCTGACCTCTGTACTGTCGACTTGCGGCCTGCATGCTTGGACGACGCTGGGCCCAGCGGCGCTATGGAAGCCAGCGGGACTTCCAGCGCTCCCGGGCCCATGAGCGTTGCCGAAGCCGCCGGCACCGTGAAGACCGCTTGCACCATCCGCACCTGGGACCCCAGAGACACCGAATCCCCTCGAGGCGCCGAAGCCGCCGAAGCTGCTAGAGCCACCGCCCAAATGGCCAGGACCGCCCCCACCGTTCGTCTCCTCTTGGCTGTTGAGAGGCACAGGCACTTCGATAATGGCAAAAATCTCCCGGAGCCAAATGCCGTGGTCAACCTTGCAGCCAGGGCATTTGGAAGGAGGGCGTTGCTTGTCGTATGTAATATCACAGTGGCTGCAGCGAATGCGGAGGATTGGCTTCTTGTGGAAGCGGTGGCTGCCATGCTCACGGCCGTAGTGGCGGCGGATTGTGTCCATGTTGTCATCCTCGCGTTTGCAGATAGGGTCCTCGGGATTGTCAGACAGACCGTATTGGCACTGCCAGCGGCGCGATTGGGTGCCAATCTTCTCTTTTGCCATGATGATAGTGCGAAGCTCAAACTTGACCAGTGTCGGAGTGTGAGTGAGAGCGGTCGCGCCTGCAGATGCAGGCAATGCAGTGCTCTGACGGTGCCCAGCAGATGACGGTGATAACAAAGTCATTGCGTTGTTCTGCGATGTAGGGCCAATAGTGGACGTAGTCAAGGCTGTGTTGAAATCAAAACCAGATGCCTCGACATTTTGAACAGTCTGCGTATCATACGTAACTGTATCTGCCGTGAAGTTGGTATCCGCGACGGGATGATTGAGGTGAGCTCCCATGTGCAGGTTGCCTGCATAGGTTTCTGCGGGTATGAATTCAAGATTGTTCACCAAAGGAAGGTCTTGGAATGTTGAAGGAGTAGCAGAAAGACCTGTGAGTGTATTGGACGGAGCAGCAGTGACGGACCCCGTTGAAGGAGACACAGTCTCTGTGGTGACATCTTCCTCACTCTCACTCCCCTCGATGGGGAACTCGCGAAGGGCTGTGTATCGTAGTATGCGGTCCTTTTCTTGGTATACCGCCTCCAATTGAGAGTAGTCGAAGCATGTACACTGGGAATGATTGGTGTTAGTATTCAAAGCAAAACATAATTTAATTTTACATCAAGCGGGGTAGAGAGGCACTTACACGGATCTTGAGGATACGGCAACCGTGACAGAACTTCAGCTCAGCCTTGACGAACATGGGAAGGCGGCGCATCTGACTGATCTGTTCTTCGAGGGAGCGCCACGTGTTGTACATTTCTTGGAGCGTGGGCATCCGCTGTGAGCTGCCGAGCGAGCCATGAGCTTGTTGCATCTGAGGCGTGAGCACACGCCTAGCAGACCGACTGGAAGGCAGTGTCTCTCGTTGGAGGATCTGCACACCGCGCGTGCTGTGCATATCACCTCCTCGCTGGTTGCGTATGACACGGCGAGCTGCGTCGGGAAGAGGGATGGCGTCTCGTGTCGCAGTGGCCCTCTGGGGACTAGAGGAGCTGTTGTTTGAAGGAGTGGTCATTTTGGGTTACAAAAGGTTGAAGGGTGTCTGAAAGGTATGGAAATAGGGTGTCCTGTGGCTTGTCGAAATGAAGGTGAGAGGTACGAGTGGACGTAAGAATGAAAATATGTAAGCAAAAGAAACAATGTGAGTATTGAGATGTCGAGACGTTGAGTAGGAAATAGTGCCGGCACAAATTTCTAGCAACTCCCAGAGACTCAATAGATATAGGATTATTATGATGTGAAGAAAAGGAGTTGGATGGTAATGGGGGCAGGGTAAGGTTATATATAAATTGACAAGATTGAGTATGAAGCGAAAAAGAGGGCTTCTGGCAGAACAATAGATAAAGGAGACCAGACTAAAAGAAAACGAAAAGGACAGGCGGATGAGAAGAAGCAGATGAGGCCATCGATACCATGACATGTCCTCGATCAACAGACTGATGCAAAAGAAAAGGGGTCAGAAATGAGGAGAGCACAAGGCAGCAACGAAAAGATTTATATGCCCCCACCGGCCGAGCCGCAACTGCAGCAAGGAGAGCATGCAGGATAGGTTACACAATAGACACTAAGACAACGTCCGTGGGGGAAGGGGAGTGACGGAGATGGATGGTATAGGTATAGAGTGGGTGGAGAGAGACTGGTCACGGATAGTGGACACGGCGAAAGTGGAAGATATGTAGCAATGAGGCGGAGGTACCAACAAAAGTATGACAGTGTTCTGTCTTGACCGGCCAGAAACAAAGGCCAGAAGAGGCAGTCAGGCCTTACCGTATGGCCGATGCAGCTCCAGCCTGAATCGCCTATTCAGTTCAGCCATGGCTTGAACGAGACAAAAGACATCACCGCCTGTCAAATGTCGCCTGTCGAGTGTACTTTGACCGTGGGAAATCGCTGACAGCTATGGGGTACTTCTGCCTTGTGTGTATCGAGGCGAGCGCGGCCGCCGGCTCTTGTTGAGGCCATGCCCTCGTGATGCATCCAAGTCCCGGCTATAGTGTGACGGTGATTCTGCCCATGACGACCACAATGTGGCCAGCAGCAAAGATCAAGGCGATAGAAAATGTGCTGGGATGACAAAATTTTCAGGTAACAGTCCGCCGGCTCAAGGCCCAACAGCCTTACATTGCGTACCGTATGTGTTCGAGATGCGAGGTCGAGGGTCCGAGGATGCCAAATATCTCACCCGTCGTTATACACTGCCACCGGAATGGCTTGGAGGGAGAAGGTAAAATTTCAGTCTCCAACGGTAGAGTTGCCAGAAGTTTGGAAACAGGGGAATACCAACATTGCTCAGATCCCGGGGAGGAAAGAGCCGGAGAAGTGCATGCTCATTCAAGCAGTGCCACAATATCCAAACAAGGAAAGGGCGACTGTTCAGAATTTTGACACAGTCTGTTCATATCCTGTAAAGACAGCCCCAAAGTAGATAACTTCTGTGATCTCGACCGCCGATGGAGGCATAGCTTGACGGACTATGGGTTCTATTATTCGCTGCCCTGTGCAACTTGTTCTCGTGGAATGACGGCGTTGGGGCTGGGTACGTCAAGCGCGGCCAATTTCGAGGCCAGGTGGAGTGCGAAATACCACACCAACTCGGGCTCGCCTTGGAACCTATGCGGTCTTTTATTCGTCTGTTTTTTTCTCTTCAGATTCTTTTGTATCCGCCACTGGAAGATTGGGCGCGGTGTGACTTTGGGCCGCGCCCAAACTCTCGTACAAGCAAGCGATCAACGGCAAGGAAATACAACATTGGTGACAGGGGAATGGCCAGAAAGACCGCTGGGACAGTAGCGAGAATCAAACGGAACGACGAATGGTAGACCAGCCAGGCGCAGTCTACCTGAGTGGCCGCATAAGCGGCCGCATAAAGCGGCCAACGTACCAGGTCAAAACGCTCAAATGGGTGCAATCAGTAGGCAATGGGGGAAAAGGCTGAACGCTGGGCGAACTGGAGAAAGTTCTTAGAGAATGCAGTAGTGTGGTAGCAGGCAGCAGTGAGGCCCAAGTAACATATTGAAACCGGCGGAAGAGAACTAGAGAGGGCATCAAAAATTGAAGGCGAGATTTATCCTGGACTTTGTTAGCGAGGCTTTTGTGGTTGGTGTCACAGAGGTCTAGGTTGCTCTTCCCCCGCACCACATCTGTACCATTCGACAATGTCGGGCCGCAGAAGCTGCACTCGCAGAAGGAGTATAGACGCTCTGTTTTCTCATCATTTACCATGCATACATAAACAATATTATCAGTAAAGCGCCGGTTATCATCATCTGTAGAGAGAAAAGATGACTCTCAATACAATTAATCAGATTTCGGCGACATGAGATTTTTCGGTGGCTCATAATGCGTCTGATGGAATAATAGCTTGAGAGAAAAAATCATAAAAAAAAAAAAATCGCATCATCCAGTTCGATGTCATTATGCATGCTTCGGGCATGTGTTCTGCGTGTATGCAAGGAGATTGCTTCGGCGTCCTCGTCTGCAAGCAGGCTTTGCGCAGATCCGGCCGCGTCCAGAGCGGCCAAGCAATCTTCTGCGCCACGTTCGTCTCTGTCCGCCAAAATCGGTGTTAGAGGGGAATTACTGCATTGAGACAAGCGCGGGCCGTGAAAACGGTGTGGCTATGGGGCCAAAGCCGAGCAAATTCCAGACGTAGCTGCTGTACGGAGTATTAAGGACTGATGCAAATGGACAAGACCAGAGAACAAAAGGATACATGTCGAAGGGCTACAAACGAGCCGATTCAACATCCCGAATTGTGCCGATGATATTCATTAGAAATCGAAATCATAGAAATCCACAAAACAAAGAGTGAGGCGAGTCGGAGGATACTAATGGCGCACTATGGGGGACAACAGCGTCTCACTACAGCAGATCAAATATATTTAATATAATAAAATATAAAAGAAACGAGTAATATTTGCTGAGGCTCTTTATAGGGGCTTTGTAGGCAACAGTGAAAGGAGACACTCTGAATGGTTATCACAGATGATGCATGCAGAGCCGTCCATCTCTCCTGCTTTAGCGTTGCATGTTGCAGGTTTCTTTTATTTATGTGCACGGTCACCAAGCGTCCCATGACGGAGGAGAGGTCTAGAATGCAAAGAATGGATGGTACTCTATTAGCCGTGTCCACATATGGGGCTGCACAAAAAGAAGCGAGACAGAAGCTTGCTCTTCACCTTGTTGCAACCTCGACCAAGATAGAGCCACAGCAGGCATCCATATTCAGGCCAGTCGTGGTATTTTCAAGGTATGACTGTTATTTCTGGGGCTAATTGGCCGATTGATAAGTGCAGATTATACTGCGTGGTCAAATTCATCTTGTGGCTCTTTGTACGTACCGATGTGGTAGCAGCGCGACGATGGTGATCTATCAGACATTGTGTGCTGTTCTTGGGACTATTTTCTTTTTGATTGAGTGTTTATTTACCCATTATCATGCGCATTTCGCGTCAAATTCGCACGCTCTGTAGTATATCTGCTTGCTAATGTGACTTTGACTTAAGGCGCAAGCAGATGCCTCTCTACTCTCCATGCAAGCCATATCGATCCTCACCAACGCCATGGTCGGTGAGATGCTTATGAAAGGCTGTTCAGTGACTCAATTAAACACAGATTACCTCAGGTAAAAAAAAAAAACTAGCAGGGAGCAGCTTTTTCCGTTCACAAGTGAAGATTACAGTAAAAACTATACGGCGGCATCATCGTCTTCCTCCGTCATGCGCAAGATAAGAACCGGCACGTTCTTTGCTCTTCATTCTCACATTATTGAAGTACATGTCAAGAAGGAATACAGTTATCAAGGTCCTCAGTTAGAAGATTGTCCAAGAACAGGTTTCTCGATATTGGGTGCATGTCGCGAGGGGCGTTGCGTTGACTCCCGACCTCCTCCCCAGGGAACCCCTTATCTCTACGACCACATCTCGGCATGAATGGGTTATCATGATGTAAACAATTTGAAGCAATGATTCTTGACGAGTCCGATGACTTCTATGCCCCGTACTCGACTATTGGCGATGCCGGCAGACTCTGCCTTTTCGCAAACGACCCGCTGGTGGCCTCGCAATTGAGGCTACCGTCATTAGAGTCGCATTCTTAGAAGTCATCTACGAATTAACAAATGGTCGAAAAGGAATATCCTTTCGATAGGGCCGCCTTTATTTGAGAAATTAAGGAAAGTCTGTTAAAAATGCCTCTTGGAAAGCCCGTGGACAACAAAGCGAGTGAATGTGGTCGTGATGACGGGCCTCTGGGCCAAGCCTCCTGGCAAAGTTTCATGATAGGCTTGTTGTCCTTCACGGATGGAGGCCGCATGCCCTATGTATGCGTCTTTCCACGACCATAAATTCCAGGGGAAGGCAGTCGTGACCATGGGGACAGCATAAATGACGATAAGCAAATGGAGATTCAGCCTAGACGGAGGCCATTTTGCTCGGCCGCTTTGGCTGAATGACTCGACTTCGTTCCTTCCATTGGCGATGTTTACAAGGGTCACATATGGTGCTCCAAGTGAAGCAACGGTCAAAATTAGGCAGGTGGAAGGCCCTCTCTAGAAACATGGACGTCGAAGGAAAGAGCCTTCCGCCCTCCTTTATGCATCGTGTCGAAAGGTGGGAGGCACTTGCCTAGCTGGCTTCTGTTGCCCGGGAGGGAAAGAGCCTCAGTCCTCTTGCGTTCTAGTAAGTAGGTTCTTTCCCATTTTAATACATAAATAATAGGTCGTCGCTCCTTCCTTTTATTTTCGTTTTAGAAAGTGAATTGCTTGATTTTGACCTTTGTCGTTATTGATCTCTGTTCTGCACCCCTTTTCATTTCAGTGCAAGATTTTTGTCCTGTCTTTATGCCTGTCCAGGTTGGTCCCCCTTTACAAAACGTTGTTGGTATTCCCTCTCTGTTACTCTACTGAGGTGCAATCTTCTGTTTCTGTGGCTGACTTCTTAGAACAGTACAGGCCGACTTTCTTCTTCCGAACTCCGTGTGGCTGAGAGCTCCGGCGGCGTCGTCTTCGCCGCATCA